TCAGTGTGGAATGGGTGACGGCGGAGGTGTTGGTTGACCAGAAAGAGGAGGTCCAAAGAGCCGTTGAGGGATTGAAAATCGGGCTGAGTGCAAATCGAAGGTTGGAGCCAGCTCGGAGGGCGTTGTGGGAGGTAGTGTTCTGTGTCAGCAGGGTTGCTATGAGGGCGAGGGCGAGGATTGGCCATGACAATTGATGGGATAAAATGGCGTACAAAAGGCTGCGGAGCTGAAGTGAGCCTGAAAACTGACAAATCGAAGTTGGGCAACCTGGTGAAAGTAGACTGGATGTGAAAAATCAAATGTCAGTGCAGGTCAGTGGATTTGTCCTGCGGCACGCCGTAAAGAAAGGTGGGTGAAACGGGTCAAATGAAATAACTGACCACGGGCGTAAGTGGAGATTTCTCCGGATGACTGTCTTCACTAAGGTCCCGCTCAGCAGCCGGCGTCAGCAGCGCAGCAGCAGGAGTCGTTTGATGTGGTGAAGTCGGTGGCGTTGTTTTGGGGGAAGGGGAGAAATCCGGTTGTGAATGTGGTGCTGGGGAAACTGCTGGTGATGTGGGTGTTGGTGATGGGGAAGGTGCTTGCCTTGGTGGTGCGGTTGGGAGTGGTGTGGAGAAGAGTTGCTGGTCCTGCTGACGTTGCATGTCTTTGAGTTCTTGCCATCGGGCTTGGCATTGCTCCACGGAGAAGCCCACTCGGCGAGCCACAGTGGTCCAGTTGGGACGAAGTTTGGGGTTTTCTTTGAGTTCGACCAGGCGACAGTCGGCGTCGCCGTCCCAAGCATCCCAGTCCGCCTGTTGGTTCAGTGGTGGTGGGGGTGGTTGCTTCCGCTTGCGTGTTGTGGTGGGTTGTGGATCTGGGGGTGTTGTTGGAGTGTCGTCTGAGTCTTTTGAGGGTGGTGCTGGTAAACGGATGGGTGGTCTGGATGGTGCTGAGTCACAGGATGAGGTGGTAGATGGTAAACGTATAGGGTGGTTGGGCGGAGTTGGAAGTGGCTGAAAGTGTTGGCGGAAAGTGGGATCCGCTTGGTGGCAGTGGTGGAGGAAAACAGTGTGAAGGTGTGCTACAATATCTGTTGCTTGTCGAAGCAGGTTTTGCACCTGCGAAAGTACCACTGTGGTTCTGTGTATGAGAGTTGAGGTGTCGTTGTGTAGAGGTGTCGGTGTGCTGCTCATGATTCGGAGATGTAGGGGTGTACAGTAGCCAAGAATCGTCACAGGTTGCTGCAGCAGCGCGCCAAAGCAGCCGGACAGCGGCGAGTCTGAGGGAGCGCGTCATCACGAGGGCGTGCATATGAATTAAGCGAGCATCAAATTCCCACAGGCAAAAATACGAAAATGCAATGCCGGTTGGACAGTCAAGTACATGAGAGTCTGACATGTGAAATACTCCATCAAAAACAGCCGGTACAATTCGAAGAAAGATGTTTACAGCAAACACTGCCGAGCTTGAAAAATTGAGGGTTCAAAATTCGCGTTGCCGCTGCAGGAGGCTCTTTGTGGCTGCTACAAGCAAAGGTTAGGTGGTGGTGTGAGACCAAAAGTGGATGTGGAGGTGGTAGTGGTGTGTAGATGTGTGGTAGTGGTGTTATGTGTCCGGTGGAGTGGAGTTTGTGGACCAGGCCAGTCCTTTGACAATGGCGTGGTCCGGGTGGATCACCCAGCAGCGGCCCTTCTGATGAAAGACTGCACCATGGTGGTCGTTAAGGAGGTTCATGGCGTGTTCCTCACCTCCAAAGGTATATTTTGTGGCAGCACCCCAAGCAAGGAGTGTGATGATAAGGGAATGGGAGTTCTTGTGGAGTTGCCAGGTGTTGTGGATGATGCGGGCAAGTTCGTTGTGGTCATGGGGTTGGTTGTGGGTGATGCGAACGCCCTGGGCAAAAAATCCAGGGTAGTTGGCAAAGTGGAGTGCGCTGGGTAAAAATCGGCCCTGGCGTAGAATGTTGGAGATGTTGCCGACGGGGCCTGTGTGGCCTGCGTTGATGTGGGCGACTTCCCGGTGGGTTGATGTGGCTCGGGAAACCGCAGGTGGTTCTGGTGTAGTGGCTTTGGCGTTGAGGAAGGGAAGTGAAATGGCGTAGTACTGGAATTGGTCGTATTGGTGAGTGGTGTCGTTCCACTTGGCGTGAGTGTATTGTCGGAAATCGGTGATCTCCTTGTAGGTGATGTTGCAGTCTGTGAGGATATTGGCAATGTACTGGTGTTGTGGTCGGTTGGGATTGTCGAGTTGGGTGGCGTGGAATTCGAGCCATTCCAGGATTTGGTCTGCAGGTGTAAAGGTGTGAAAGTTGGGTGGAGGTCGCCAACGGTTGATTGGGCGACGGAGGACGGCTGTGGTGGGAAATTGAGAAGGGTCTGGGTTGGCGTGTTCAGTGTTAGGGCGTAAATCAATGGGATGTGGTGGTGAGCGACTGCGAGATGGCGTAAGGCTGGATGTGTAGGTGGATGTTGAAGGCGAACGCCGTCGCCGGGTTGTGCTGTGATGTTTGGAGTGGCGGTGATGGCGATGTCGGCGGCGGTGGCGGTGGCGTCCTCTGTGGTGATGGTCGGACTTGCGTCGGCTCTTGTGGTGGTGGCGGCGACTGCTGTGTGGTGGTTGTGGGGAAGGTGGTTGTGGTGCTGGTGAGGCGATGGTGTCAGGTTTGTCTGGTGCAGGTAGTGTAGATCCGGTCGCTGGTGTGGCTGATACTAGCGATGGGGATGCAGAATGTTGGGATACAGTAGCTGGAGGGGTCGTGTTTTGGACTGACAATGGAGTGTCCGGGGCAGTCGTGGGGATGGGTTGGATTGGTGGTGTTGGATCCGATGGTGGCGGTTGGACTGGTGTTGAGGCGTTGATGGTTTGTGGATGTGGGAAAGGTGGGTGCAGTTGATGGCTGTGGCAGCGGCCATGGGGGTTGAGGTTGTGTGGTAGGTAATGGTGGTGGCGTGGTGTGAGCGTAGGGCCACGGAAAATGCATGTCGTGGTCGTAGCTATGGCGCGGCGCGGCGCGGCAGCAAAAAGGCAGCGGAGTAGTGCTGAGTTGTATTGTCTTGTTGTTGTTGAAGGTGTCATCTCAAGTGTCGACGGTGAGTATGTTGTAAGGTGGTGCTAGATGTGAGCTTGTTGGTAGGTGTGTATTCATGCATCTCGAATTAAGCTGAAGAGCTGTAATGCCCATCCTTGAGTTCTGTCTATGAAAGAATCACGGCATCAATATAGCAAAACGTGGAAACACACACATGATTGGAAGACGAGAAAAGAAATCTGAATGCTGAAATCGGAAATCTGAAAGCTGGAATGCGAAGTATTCTTCAAGAACCGTTTTTTGGCCCGGCGGCCGGTGTGGCAGTTGATTCTGTGAGGGTGTCGGTGCCTTCCTGTGAGATTCCAGTGAGCGGTGGTGCGTTGGGGTGGTTGCTTTCCCATGCAGAATTGGCGCCCCTGTGACGGGGATCACACTCAGCACCCGAGTGGGACGGCTGAGCAGGACACACTTCGAACTTGGGTTGTCAGTTAACGCAATTGCCACGTTGGGAAGGAAGGCGATAGAACAGCATGGTGCAAAGTCCGACAACTTGGAAATGTTTGAACATCGATTGTTTCACTTGACGTCGATCAGCGGCCGGCTGCAGCGCACGAACAGTGGGAAACCTGTTTGTGGGAGGGTATCATGAAGAAGAACCATGGAAACAAAGAAACAGCAGCAGGGTGGACCATTGGTGTCATTGCGTTCAAAGCAGGTACACACCGAGACGTCTCTCGGTGCATCCCCCGTCACATCCTAGCTTCGTTGGGCCAGGTTGGATGTGACAGGCCTGACCCCCCTGCTCATGTAGGGTAGAAATAGTGGTGGTGGAAAACCCTTTGTCCAGGGCTGGACACACACACACACATGTGGCCGCTTCGCGGCGCTCCTCGCACCGGCGGTGCGTATGTCGGCGGAAACCTGAATAGCTACCTACCTTAGAAAAAGAACGGGAAACGGAAAAAGAAAAGAACAAGCAAAGGAAAAGGGCAAGAAAGAAAGACAGGTGTAAAAGGCCATGCATGTCTGCCGAACGAACGGCAAATTACCGAGTTAAAACCAGAATAGCCACCTAACAAGCCTTGGAAAGGAAGAAAGACAGAAAGAGCAAGAAGAAAAGGGGAAGAGAGAAAGATAGGTGTACAAGGCCATGCATGTCTGCCGAACGAGCAGTCAAAACCTGAATGGGCACCTAACAAGCCTTAGAAAGGAAAGAAAGACAGAAAGAGAAAACGAAGAGGGCAAGAGAGAAAGGTAGGTGTGTAGTCAAAAAGGGAATAAACCTAGTTACTGAATACTTGGCGGCCGTTAGTTACGCGCAATAGTTGGGGAGCGGGACTTTAGTCTTAAACCGCCCGGGCAGAGTAGACTAGAAA